TCTTCCTCGACCCAGTGGGCCAGGCAGGCACGCTCATCTCAAGAAGACGACTGGGACTGGTGGCAGCAGTGGTCCTGGCACAGTTACTCTCAGCAGTGGCCGAAAGGTCATGACCAGTGAGGGCAGAAATGTGTCACAGACTCTTTGATCCCTTATGTCACAGACTCAGGGAATTCGGCACTCTTCCGACTCTTAGCAATTCTCTTCGGAAGCCTGTGAACCGCGTGCTAATCTCGCTTAAAACAGCACTTCGCTGCTTCAGCGAGCTGCCCACGTCCAAGCTGCCCACAGCCTCACTCCACCGGAGTTGCTTTCAGGTACATGCGGTCATGGGCAAATGACCCTTACGGCCTTCTGTCTTCAACATGAGTAATCCGTGTGGGACGCCACAAGACGGATACTCCAGGTGTCGGCTTCGTCTGAGGTACGGCCTACTTGTTGTGACAGGTGCACAGATGGACGCGTCTGTTCACTCCAAGGTGTCGGGGGAGGAAGCTTTTGTAGCAGTAGTCTGTCAAGTTCGAGCTGATTAGAGAGGTATGAGCGATGCATGCTAGAAGCAGTTTCACGAGTGCACGAGACCAAAGGCGCCCGCAAAGCGCAGAGCACGCTCGCGCAGCGTTCAATTGAAAAATTGGTAGTAGTAGTAGTAATAGTAATAGTAATAGTAATAGTAATAGTAATAGTAATAGTAATAGTAATAGTAATGGTAATAGTAATAGTAATAGTAATAGTAATAGTAATAGTAATAGTAATAGTAATAGTAATAGTAATAGTAATAGTAATAGTAATAGTAATAGTAATAGTAATAGTAATAGTAATAGTAATAGTAATAGTAATAGTAATAGTAATAGTAATAGTAATAGTAGTATAGTAGTATAGTAGTATAGTAATAGTAATAGTAATAGTAATAGTAATAGTAATAGTAATAGTAATAGTAATAGTAATAGTAATAGTAATAGTAATAGTAATAGTAATAGTAATAGTAATAGTAATAGTAATAGTAATAGTAATAGTAATAGTAATAGTAATAGTAATAGTAATAGTAGTAGTAATAGTAATAGTAATAGTAATAGTAATAGTAATAGTAATAGTAATAGTAATAGTAATAGTAATAGTAATAGTAATAGTAATAGTAATAGTAATAGTAATAGTAATAGTAATAGTAATTAGTAATAGTAATAGTAATAGTAATAGTAATAGTAGTAGTAGTAAGTAGTAATAGTAATAGTAATAGTAATAGTAATAGTAATAGTAATAGTAATAGTAATAGTAATAGTAATAGTAATAGTAATAGTAATAGTAATAGTAATAGTAATAGTAATAGTATAGTAGTAATAGTAATAGTAATAGTAATAGTAATAGTAATAGTAATAGTAATAGTATAGTAATAGTAATAGTAATAGTAATAGTAATAGTAATAGTAGTAGTGTAGCAGTAGCAGTAGCAGTAGCAGTAGCATAGCAGTAGCAGTAGCAGTAGCAGTAGCAGTAGCAGTAGCAGTAGCAGTAGCAGTAGCAGTAGCAGTAGCAGTAGCAGTAGTAGGAGTAGGAGTAGTAGTAGTAGTAGTAGTAGTGGTGGTGGTGGTGGTGGTGGTGGTGGTGGTAGTGGTAGTGGTAGTGGTAGCGGTAGTAGTAGTGGTAGTGGTAGTGGTAGTGGTAGTGGTGGTGGTAGTGGTAGTAGTGGTAGTAGTGGTAGTAGTAGTAGTAGTAGCAGCACCAGTAGTAGGAGTAGTAGCAGTGGTGGTAGTACACTACTAGTACCGTAGTAGTGCGCTGTTGCTTGCGGCAGTTTTGCATTGTGTGGGCTGTGCTTGTTGTGCGGGGGCGGTTGGGGCGGGGGGTAGGGAAGTAAGTCTTTAGCACCCTGCCGGGCGGAGCCTAATTTTCGCATTTTTCTTTATATTAATCGAAAATCATTTCGGGCAATTTTGCACCTGCGTTTTCGGCTTTGGCCGTTTTTCGCTTGCAGAATGCCATGTTAAGGCAAGCAGGTCCCAAACCATGAGGACCCCCTCGTAATCGTACACCGAGGGGGGGTGGCTCTGCCTGCTACCATTTTCGGTGCTTATTTTGGGAGAGTGGGGGTGGGGCCAGAAGAAATAAGTACGGGGAGCCCAATAGGTGCGGTCATGTCGCTTGATGTCGCTTGCTTGCTTTTTTGCGTAGAGATCTTAGAGTCTGTGCTTTTCACGTCTGGGGGAGGACGAGTTTCACGGATCAGTTCAGACCCCGCCTCAACCCCCCCCACACGCCCTCCCCCGCGAGGGGGTCCTCATCCCAAACCGCGGCCGAAACAATGCTCGCGACAATTAGTACGTTTTTTTTTCACTTGCCAGCACAGCCCTTTGCCTCGTCCAAGCAATCCAAGTTCTGTTCGGGATTGCACGCAATGTTGCCATGTTGGCGACAAGCTCCATGCATGCTCTCGGCTTGGATCAAGATCTCCGCGATCGGAACCTGTGAAACCTTGTGCTCGGCAGAGCATCAGTGTAGCAGTGCCGAACAGTTCTGAGCACACCGCAACAGCTGGCAGCATTGTCATTTTGCACTCAACCGGCCGGCCCGGCTTCTGGACTGCACCTCCGAGACACGACATGGAGCCAGGCCAGCGTTACGGAAGGCAGTCGACAATTGCTGACAAATATTGTTCGACTATGAAGGCGGCAGCTGCAGCCGGTGGAGTCCAGCTGTTCCAGCTTCAGAAGGTGCAACATGAATTAGCTGCAGTCGAGACATGCTTGCCGCCCACATCAATGTTTTGATGCCATCACCGCCCAGAGAAAGAATCGGTCGATATCAGTCTTGTGCAGAAGTGCCGTTTCGTTGTCGTACGTGGACGTGCATTCATGTCGAAGTTGCGAAGCAGTTGCCTAGGCATTGGTCGGGCATTGGGGTCAAAGGTGGGCCAGGTTGTCCAGGTTTGAGGTTAGATTTGTTTCGCATATTGTTCGTGCATGCGGCCTCTCACGCTACCGTTCTCCGAGGGTACCGTTTTTTTTTTTTTTTTTTTTGTCAATTTTGATGTTTTTTTTTTTTTTTTTTCTGTCTATTTTCTGGTTTTCGGGTGAATGCAAACGAAAGAAGAAGAGAAACGAAAGCCGGAAAGAAAGAAAGGAGCAAAGAAACAAACAAAGAAAGCAAGAAAGGAAGACACCAGGAAGAGGAGAAAGAAAGAAAGGACGAAGGACAGAAAGACAGGAAGGAAGGAAAGAGGGACGACAGAAAGAAAGAAAGAAAGAAAGAAAGAAAGAAAGAACGAAGACGGGAACAAAGGAAGAAAACAAGAAAGCAACACACCAGAATGGGGAGAAAGAAAGAAAGGACGGAAAGACAGAAGGACAGACAGAAGCATGGAAATAAGAACTCAGGAAAGACAGAGAGACAGAACAGAAGAAATGAATATCGAAAGACAGAAAGCCAGCAAGGACGACCAGAAGGAGTGTTAGAAAGAACGGAGCAAAGAAAGAACCCAAGAACGAAAGCAGGAAAATTAGACAGCAAGAAGCAAAGACCAGAGACCCCGCTGTTTTGAGCTGTGTGCAAGCTTGCTTGACAGCATAGACGTCGTTTCGAAACCCGCCCTGCATAAAATATAAGCCTTTTTGAGACAATGCCATTCACCATGCAAAGAGTTTCTTTGCAAATGGAAAGCCTGCCCCGTGCGTGCGAGAGTGCCGAGCTTGCTTGACAGCATATATGCCTTGTGTTGAAAACCCCACCATGCGAGCATCCTCATGAGCTGCCCCCCTTAAACCGCCCCGCCGCATAGATTTTGTTGTAAACCAGACATGTGAGCATCGTGATTGCAAATGGGGGGCTGCGCCCCCCCCAAACCCCCCCAACCCCCCCGCTGTGTAAGCCGTGTGCCAGGTTGCATGACAGCATAGGAGTCGTGACAGCACAGACGCATGTTTTAACCAACCACGCGAGCGGGGCTGCTCCCCCCCAACCCCCCCACTGCTTTAAACCATGTGCAAGCTTGCGTGACCGCAGCTTTGCTTGACAGCATATATTTTTTTGAAAACCAACCATGCGAGCATCTTGATTGCCGCCCCGGCCGCATGTGATTTGTGGTAATTTCAATCCAGAAGCTTCGCGGATGCTATAAGCGCGCGGGGAAAAAAAGAAGTGTGAGAGACACGGCAGCATTGTGGCAGGAGCTTCTGACAGTCCAGCAGCTGCCGCGAGACGAGCGAAGAAGTTTGGGAAGCTTTGAAACCTAAAAATCCACAAAAATCCAGAAAACATACGCAAGGAAGAATTCCAGTCAGAGGTGGAGAACGGTCACGGCCACCAGGCTAGATTCCGAAAACCAAGGAAGGCATAACTAAAACCAGGAAAATATACAAAAAAAACCAGAAAAATACACAAAAAAGAACTCCAGTCAGAGGTGGAGAACGGTCACGGCCACCAGGCTAGATTCCGAAAACCAAGGAAAACAGAACTAAAACCAGGAAAATATACAAAAAAAAACCAGAAAATTGAAAAAATAAATACTCGCTCCGTTCTCCGAGCAGTGTGGGATGCAGTGTGCCTATTGTTGTCCGTTCGGGGCTCTTGCAGTAGTCAAGCGTTATATGCATGGGCAAGCAAGCTTTAGGTAAACGTCGCTGCGAGCCATGCAAAAGCTAATTTCTAAACCAGGGTGGCAATTCTTCTGGCTGCTGGGTTGAAGAAAAAGACGGACAAGACTTTGGATCAAGCACAGGTCGAATGCTCGTTTCCCACCACGACGCAAACGAAGCCAGCTGAAATCAAAGCCATGTCAAGTTTCAATTGAACGTGTCGAAAATGCCAGGCCTCCCGCTTCCAAGACCCAAAGGTCTTTGGCCATGTGCCAGATTGCAACGATCACGCTCGCCCTCATCAGTTAATTTGGTCGGCTGCAAACTCACGAAGTAGCTCCAACTCACGTTCGGTTGAAAGAGTTGAAAGAAGCTGCCTGCTGTCGGTTGATGGGGCATGCGGCAATGCGGATATCTCATCGACGGACATAATATGTCAGCGACTGGCGATGCGTTTTGCGCAGGTGATGGTCAGGGCGATTGCACGCCAAGCCATCGGCAAACCGCCGATTCGTCAAACGGAGGGTGCCCAGCTTAAGCAGCTTTCAGCTGGTTTACAAGTAGATTTGGATGGCTTGTGTCAAGTTGCATCGGCACAAAGGCAGAGCGAGCAAGATGCGATCGTTCGGGGCTCCAGACCATTCATGTATGTCTGGATGTGAAAGCTTTCGACAAAACCAGCGCGAGGTGCATTTCGATTGGGAGCCTGGGCAGGTGCTAAATCGAAGGACCGGCTGGAGCAAGGTGTCGCCTGGTCTTGCATAGATTGTGTGGAGACGATCCAGGTATCGACTGGACTCTCTAGCTGGCGAAGGGACATTCGGCCGAGTATGTTCCCCAGCGAATCAAAGCGAACAGTATGGCCACGGGATCAATGTAGATGATACAGCATCGTAGTATTATGTTGATGAGGGTGAGTATTATACTATGCCATGGTACAGATCTTGTTTTGCAACATCACCCTGTATTGTTGCAAAGCGCGAGGGAAAGTGTTATGCTATTCTGTACTCTGCTATCTGTCTATCTGCAGACATACAGATTACAGAGGTAGATGTTCGTACAGGGTCCCCACTCTTGCGAGTTTAGGTTTGCCTGGCCACCGACACCACAAAGAAGCGCCAGGCACTGGTTTCCTGTAGCCAGGTCAGGTTTGGGCCTGATGCAAAAAAAGGGTGTAGGGTTTACGGGGGGTGTCTTGGCAGCGGGTGTCAGGGTCGTGCTTGGGCAGCCAGCAACCCCAGTTTCAAAACAGGGCTTATGGGGTGTTGGGCTTAGGGCACAGGGCTTGGGGCGTTGGGACGCTTAGGGTCTAGAGCGCACTGTCCATTGCGTCTTGGTATGTGTCGGTGCAGTGTCTGTCAGTGCCCAACATTCTGATTCGGGAAGGTCGCGATCAAGATCATTCGCGACGTCAAGCAGCAACTTGGCATCAGACCATGGACGAAACAGCCAGACTGCAGGAGTGCTTTGACTTTCCTCGACAGGGGCATAGCGTTCCTTGTGCAGCCGTGGATGCAGAGGGGCAGCCTTGATGTTCCGCAGCCTCACGGGGTAATGCAGCAATGTTGCACCGAATTTTTGGGTGCTTCTCACCCATAGCTGACGACCGAAGTTCAACAATTCTATGCGAGTTTGACGACAAAGGGAGGGAACAGATGAAGGAATCCTCCGGCTAGCGGCAAGCCCTCCTGCCATGGTGTAAGCGGAGTGGACATGACACAGACGCCATTCGGCCACTGGGCTTCTGTCAAGACATACTGTTGCGATCTCTGTTGAGGGTGGTGTTAGTTAGAGGAGTGTTGACTGGATACACAGGATGGTGAAAGCAGGAGGATTCAAGATGGAAGAATGTTTGTGATGTCAGAGCGAAGCTGAAGAGAGGCACTGGCTGGAGAGCAAGATCTCAAACAAGTGGCATGGAAGTTTTGACCGAGGTTTAGAGAGGCTGCACAAGAGGAGGCAGAGGTCTTGGCGACCATTTGTGCAGCTGACCCGTGGGGGCCCGCACCTTGAAACTTATCTGACAAAGGAAACCGACATCCATGCAATGACTCGGCATTCGAGGCAGTTTCGTTGCTGCTGGATGCACACTTCCTTCCTTCACGACTCCAGGCATGCGACAAGAACCGCTCCTGACTCTGACATGCAAAGCCGTCCTTTCCAAAATGGGACATGCACAGAAGACAACAGGTTCTTCTGCATGGTCCTTGAACCTTTGGGCAGCAGCCTGTGTGGCGCTTGGGAGTCTCTTGGCCACGCTCTGCGGCTGAAATGCAGGAGTCTAATTTCAGAAGGTACGAGTTCATCAAAAAGAACGACTACAGAGGGCCTGGGAGCTCGGTGTCGCGAATGGGCCGTCGACCAGTTGACACTTTTGCGTCCGAAACTGCAGAATGCGGTGAGCATGTTGCTTCTCCAGGTTTTGGCTTCAGGACATTCAGATCATTGCAAAGCAGCTCTTGTATGCTCCTTCCACAGAGATGACTTCCTGTGTTGAGTGTATGGTGGAGCCGTGGCGATTGGCGATCCAGGCCCTGAACTTCTTGCATACGAAGATGAGGTATACCCATACGGACTTGAAGTCATTGCCTGAGCATCTCCAATGTCAGTTTCTAGCCTCCTCGGAGAAGTAAGAGCTGAAGGCCAGAGAACGTCATGCTGACCAGCATGGAGCCTGCAAGGACAGCGTCCGCAGATCACACCTGCTCTGCTCTTCGGGATGATGCAGTTTGTGAGGGGTACCTTGTTTCTAAGAGAGGCCGGAGTGGTTTCCAAGGGAGGACTTCTGCGAGGTGCCGGCGCATTGCGATTTGCATGTGCTGCGAGCCAGCGTTTTGCCAATCTGGTCAGGGCGACGAAGTGCGGCGCAAGAAGAAGAGGAGTAAGCGCTTGCAGCAGCTGTTGTTCCGGCTAGTCCCCCGGCTTGGTGGCTGAGGTCGCCCCCAGTACGTGCGACCACGTGGTGTTGGCGCCTGAGGGCAAGCGGCAACCTGGGGAGTGCAACAACATAGCTGGGATGCCTGCAGGCGGGCATCAAGATCATCGACTTTGGTACTGGGCTTGGGCTCGACAAGTACCATCTGCAAGCGGAGTCTTGCAGCCCACAGGCAACACGGTTCGGGAACATGATCGCCGCGATAAAACCATCAACACGCGGCAGCACAGGGCTGAGCGGCAGGTGGTGATGTGCTCCTCTTCGTAGCATTCTAAGTTGCTTGGGCCATGTGGTCCACGACATGTCAGGTATCGCGGGCCCGAGGCGCCGATTTTCTAGGGTGTTAGTAGCACGACTGCTCAAAGTGTTCGTGACATGCCGGCATGTATTGTTTGCAGGTCATTTTGGAGCTCGGCTGGGATGAGAAGTCTGATATTTGGCCAGGAACTTGGCAGGGTTGGGCGCGTTGGCGGTTCCGCCGGCTTTGGACTCTGCGGGCATTGGCTCTTGTAGGAAGCTTTGGGGTTTGCTCCTCCCCGGGGCTTTTCAGCCATGGCGTGCTGTCCCTGCTGGGAGGGTCTGACAGGCCAGAAGGTGGGGCACCACTACAATCTGCCACAGATCCAGAAATGTACGGACAAGCTAGTGGCAACGCCGCGCGTACAGGAGTCCTTGCAACTCGTTCCTCGCAAGGCGCGGTGTTCTGCACTCTACTCATTCTTGCAAGCTTCGTTGGATTGTGGGTTAGAGAATATCCCTTAGAACCCGCATAAAGCATCATGAGGGTTGCCTGGTGCTTGCATGCTGGCGAGAGAATGAGCAATCGCCAGACGCTTGCAAAGTCTCTAGGGGTACATCATGCTGACATCCAGCAGTCGGATGACTTCCAACTCCTCGCAACTATCGCGAACTCTCGATCGGCTTCTTGCTGGCCTTGTGGTGCATGGGAAGAGCAAAACGGCAAAGCGAAGAATGCTAAATGCTTCAGGTTTAGAAGAGCAGCCTTGACCACTTTTTCAGCCTACCTTCGCCACAATGCATTGTTGAGAAAGCCTGCACGAGGTCTGTTCGGCCTCTTCTGCGCCACCTTATATCGTGCGTCCTCGTTTCATCACGTGGTGCCGGCAGTGCCAGCCACTGCCAAGCGTAGAAGGACCCTCCAGGATGTTTCCACGACGCCTGTTGTGTAGGTCCCAATTTCGGCACTGATCCTCGGCACTGGACCGCTGGGCTGTGGCTGGGCGGGCGACGTCTCAGAAACAGAGGCGGAAGCGACCATTCTGCAGGACGGACCGGGCCGTTTATTCCCTTTGGTTCATGATGAGTGTGCAACTGAAGGCCTTATCGCTTGGCATTCAGTATGTGGACACAGCTCCGTGGCCACTTGACGGACTTCTCGGGATGAGGGCTGGAGGATTCGGATTGTATTGAGGATGATTCGCGCCCGACAATGACCAGCAAACAAACATGAGGGGATTGCGAGGGATGTGTGAGGGGGGGCCCAGAAGAGAGTTTCGTGGGACCCTAAACCCTAAACCTTGGCTTGTCCGCGTTGCGAGAGCGTAGACCCTAAACCTCACACCATGAACCTCGCCTGGCATGTCAGAGTTGTGAGAGCGTAAACCCTACTCACCAGGTATGGGGGCGGCCTTTCTGAGCAGCGAGTTGGCAAAGCCTTGGCTACGGTCCAACAGGATCGCTTCTTACCCTTTCGCTTGCGCACTCCGTACGCTCCTCTGAGTTGCCGCACATACGCAGACGCATCTACTGAAGGATAAAGTTGTCCTGTCGACAAAAGTTGGCCGTTCTCCGGATGCAGTTTGAGCCGAAGCCTAGCGTTGCCTCTCTCAGCATGCGGCGGGCTCAGGATTCATCGTGGCCAAGCAGGAGTCTTCTGCATATGGACATCGCGTGGAGACTGGCTACGTGCCTGAGCGACATCTCATGGTGTACTCTCAGTTGGCTCTTTGTCTCTGACCGATGTTGGAGCTTGTCAAGGACTTTCTGACTGATGGGTACCACCAAAACATCCCCGTTTGGGACTACCGCAAGGCCACAGCCTCGCGTATTTCTCAGCCGAGCGTGTGTGCAAAGCCTGAGGAGGGAATTGAAGAGAGCTTCCGACAGTCGAGACAGAGGCTGGGTAGCACTGGCCTCGGAAGAATGGGCATGGGAAGCTTCAGAACAAGGGATCAAGACCTGACGGAAGAATCAGGAAGCTTCATCGATTGCCTCCGGATACATGATGCCGAAGATTCTGACAGATGGGAGGAAGCATGCAGCACAGGACTTGGCTAGAAAGTGCCTGCATCTCTCCATCAAGCTTTGCCTTCCCATCCTTGTCTTGGCGCCCAGGCCAAGACGGTGCCGTGAACACTCTGGTGTCTTTGCGGAGTAGAGGTCATAAGCTGCAGCAGCTTTCGCACTTGCGGCCGTGACTTGCCGTGGGCAGGTGAGATTGGACAAGTCAGCTTAGGAGCCTCAGCTGAAAATGCAGCTGTGGTTCCGAAGAGTCGCTGCAGTTTGTGATGGACGTTGAGCTGTGGCAACATATCGTGTCAGGATTCAACAAGGTTGACTTCTTGATGTGCTTTGGCGAAGCATCACTTTGCGCAATATCGCTGTGTGATTCGGTGCAGTGCAAAGGAAGACCATCCTGAGATTTCCTGTTGGAACCTTTGCTTCTCGATTGCAGCTGTGATGCTACTACGCCAGAGGGCTCGTTTGAAAGACGCCGGGACTCACGTAGGGGAGGAGACAGAAAATGTCGAAGGCCTTGCTGCGATTGATTCTACTGGTTGTAGTTCTTCAGTATCGGGCAGATAAGGGTATGGCATGGCGGGTGTTGTCCATGTGCACGACTCTGTGGCCCGCAGCCAGGGGCGTATCCCATACTGTCGCGAACTGTTTCGTCCTGCTGTCCCGGGAAGCTGCCTTGGTCGTTGCAGTCTTTGTCGGGTCGGGCACTCCGGGAGAGGCGCACGCCGAGAGACGAATACCACTTACTACTACGACGACGACGACGACTTCGATTGCAACCACCACCACTACGACGACTACTACTATGACTGCTACTACTCCTACTACTACTACTACTACTGCTACCACCAGTATTATTCTATTACTACTACTACTACTACTACTACTACTACTACTACTACTACTACAACTACTACAACTACTACTACTACTAGTACAACTGCAAGTATTATTATTGCTAGTTTTATTATTATTATTATTGTTATTATTATTATTATTATTATTATTATTATTATTACTACTACTACTACCTTCCTGGTTGTACTGTCAGACATCTCCTGAAGTATCAACCTTGAAGCAATTTTGCACCCCACTCAGGAGCCTTTAATTGGGATTGCGCTGACCCGTGGTTGTTTTTGCGAGTGGGGGTCATGCACTGTAGTTGTGTTCTCGATTTTATCAGTAGACGGGCAGTTGAACTCTGTCCGCTGCCTAGTGAGCCTCTTGGGGCCCGCACGACTCCTGCTCATACTGGGTCTGTGGTCAGCTGGTAATGAGCTTCTTCTAGTGGTAATTTTGTACTTTTGGTCGTTGTGCCTCCGCACAAGCAGCTGTAGTCGTGCAATGAAAACCCACTCTAGTGAGCGTAGTAGCATCTCTGGAACGAATGAATGGATCGGTCTTAGAGAGGTGTTTATGGGTTTACTCTGGGTTTTGGGTTGTCGCTGATGTTTCGCTTTGTTGAGCCGATCTGTTCATTATTACTGCTGCTACGACGACCACGACAACCCTCCAAAGCCAAACTAGTCGGAAACATGCTTGCCTGCCTTTCCCGGGAGCTGAGGACAACATTATGGTGGCGCGAACCTGGAACCTTTTGGATCAGTCAGCCTATCCGCTCCTGCTTGAATGCGAAAAGCGGGGAGCCTTGTTCCGCAAGCGTCTTTTCCGGCAGACGGAAGTGCAAGGAAGAGATAACAAACGCTGGGTTGATTTGCATCCAAGGAATCAAAGTGCAGATGGCAGCAATATTCTGTGCAGGTTTGCTTTGGGGGCAAGGTCTCTATATGTACAGTAGCTCCTTGCCTTGATCACGACGCTGCCCCGGTTGGCCTCGTGTCTTCGTAGCTTGGATTGTTTGCGATTGACAAATCGTATCTGAGGCGATGTGCCGCGTGAAGCTGCGGAGAAGGTGTCGAGTTTGTTTAAGTCCACACAGATGTTCTAAAGCGTTTTGTACACCTGTATCCGTCATGTGTTGCAGGTCAAGCGATGGGAAGAGCTTGCCAAGTCTTTTGGCTTGAGCTTGCCAGCCGTGGCACTGGCCTTTGCTTACCTACCTGCATGCGTAGACAGGTGCAGCTGCGCAACTCGAAGAGCTGTTGCTTTCTCTTACTGGTGTGCATCATGCAGCAGGATCGCCGTCGGCTGTGCCTCCGCGGAACAGGTGTGCAGCAATGTGCAGCTACTCGGTGAGTATGTGCTTTCGAGGCTGTGTCATGATGCGTAGCGTTCTCACGTTCCAGAGGCATTTTGCTGGTCGATGTTTAAGTTATGCCACAGTGCCACACGAGTGTCTGTTCCACGTTTTCAGCAATGGGTCAACGAAGTGCACACATGTCGTGCGTCTTGGCCTAAACTTGAGCAAGCGTTTCATTGCTTCGGTCTCATTTGCCAGAGGCTCTGCAACGCTGACGTGCCTCGTGAGCTCTGGCAGAGTGCGAAAGCCGAGCAGCTGTTGCCAAGCTTCCTGAAATTTTGAGGCACGAAGCCTTGTGACACAAAGCCTGCTGTCATAGCTGCATCAAAGAGGTGGCAACGAATCCCACAGACCACAGAAGCCAAGTAGTCCTGCTCCACGACAATTCACGCAAAATCAAGGCAGTGGAGTTTTTGAAGCGCTATGCACAGCACGGGCCTTTGATGCCTGCTGGTCACTGTCAGTCAGTTGACGCAAGCACTCCGGGCGAAAACGCTGCAGCACCTGATCGGTCTCTGAAAATGCCTTTACTTTGCCCACTGAGTCCCCTCAACCCTAAACCCTAGACTTTGTCAGCTGGGCGGGTGGGAAAAAACGGCTTCAGTGTCTGTTGAATTGGCAGAGTGTCACTCGTGAAGGTCAGCTGGCTGCATCCTCATGGAGCTGTGCCCCGTAGATGGGTTGATAGCTTGTTCTCTGTTGCGATGCGACAGGCAGACAAACAGACCTATACAGAGAGGTACACTGGTGAGATGCTCTTTGGTACCCATGAGAGCATGGAACACCTGGCTCTTGTGGAGCGGATCCTTGCTCCGCTGTGCCGGTCTCGGGAAGTAGCGTTGAAACCGACTCAGTCGCCGGTGTTTTGTTGTTTGCAAAGTGGACTGTTTGGCGACAGCAGCTGTCGAATTTCAAGCCATCCGGGCCATCCCTACACCTCCTTCCATATCCGGGCAGAGCAGATGTTGAGTACTCTTCTTTTCACTGCGCTCCTGGTACAGACCCGCAGCTGGGAGTGTCCGGCCGGATTCGCCGGCCCGGAGAAATGCCTCGGCAAGGAGAACGCTGGCAAGTGTGAGCTGCAAAAGCCCAGCAAGGTGGACATCGACACAAACAATGCCCTGTCGTGCGACAATCCCAATGCGAAGCTGGCGGAGTTTGAGACTGACTTGGGCGGAGCCGGCAGCTACTACAAGGGCTGTGGCTTGAACAAAGATGGTTTGGTGGACAGCTGCTGCAACTGCTGGCCGCTGAAGGACCATCTGGCGGAAGCCGCGAGCAATGCGGCCTCTGACAACAAGGGCCAATGCTTTCCATGTCACAACTCCTGCTGCAAGTGGTGGTGGCTGTGCATTTTCGAACGCTGCCTCTTTGAAGGTGAAGATTGTTCCCATCAGCAATGCTGAAGACCGACTCTCAGTGACTTTGAAGCCCTGAGTCCTGATCTGCATGCATACCTCGTGCTCGAAGCTTCTGCGAGCTCCATTTGGTGTGGTGGCACCATTCTCAGAAGTGCACTTGTGTGAGAGACGTGCGTTGTGGTTTCATGTGACGGGGTCCCGTGCCCAGAAAAGACCGAGTCTGACTCCCACCAACTGTTTCCACGCACTTGAGCGGATGCTTCCCGCTACAGCATACAAATATGCACGGCTGGGACCCCACTAATTCGAGCCAACAAAAAGGCCTTGCGATGCTGCACCCGATGCTGCACCCGTATGCAGGAGAGAGAGCAGAGTCTCTTGTGCTTGGATTCTTCGGCTGACCATAGCTGCCAGAATCGGACTTGACTTGATGCTGAGACATGGAAGAAAAAGAGTGTCGATGTGAGAGGTATTTTGCCTACTAGATCAGGATTCGGAAGCAGATTTGTTGAGCCATCCATCCGCATGTCTGGTTGAGAACTCTTGGACCGGACGAGTGGCGGAAGCCGACTCAAGCCGCACCGTGAAGCCCAGGCCTTCGACAATGATTCGGCGCCAGACTCTCAGAGACAGACAACTCGGCGACTGAACCCAAGACGCCGAGTCTTTCGCGCTGAGTGCGCGAGTCTTGCGGCTCGTGCGTCGCATTCTTTCGCCGACGCAAAGCCAATCAAAACCTTAGCGTTTTAGCTTTGAGCGCTTGTAACGAGGACACGAAGCTGAAAGTTTGACTGTCGCAGTCGTGGTAAGCACCCCCGCCGGCCCAAGATCATCGCCAGTCTGCCTCCCTTCCTCCAAGCCCAGGTTCCCCCCATCGCGATCATGTCAACAATAGTCCGATGTTCAAGAAGCTCCGCGCCTTGGCTTCCGCTTTGCGGGGGATGCAAGAACCTGTTTGAATAGCAGCATAGCATACAATAGAATGCATGTATACTGCGATTTACGAATATTAATTGAAGACTGAGGTAGTATGGGTCTTTGTTTTGTCGGCATTGGTGAAAATTGTAGAGCATGCAGTAGGACCGGATGGGTTTGATATCGTCTGCATGCGGCTTACAACCTGCGTATATGCCATTCTTCTTGTTCTTAGGCTTGTTACTGTTCTTTATCGCACTCAATTCCGTGTACATGGCAGCCACGAGCGCAACAAGCAACGAGACGGGTGACCATCCAAAGCGTCTTGAATCTCATTTCTTCGGAGTATGCCAAAGTGAGTACTGCTGCCCCACTACATCGAGGTGACTTGGTTTCTGAAGCCAAATACTGTGTGATTGATGCGCTCAGCTTTGCATGCATATCTCTAGCCAGCACGGGTGAACCCCGCCCAGACACACCCGGAACCGGAAGCAGATGGCAATCCGCATGTTCTGAGCAAGCCGTGAGACCTCTCGAAGCCGGTTTTGGAAGACCCACGAAGACCCTGACCCGTTCGGAGGGTGCTAGACCTTACACGGCAAAGCAAAACGACGATGAAGAGGCCAACTTGACGTGTAACGTCTTGGGAACCTAGGTACTTCAAAAGAGGAGAGACAGGGCCTCAGTCACGCCTGCAACGCTCAGCTGCCACATGGCCGTAAGCAAAGGTCGATGGGTATTGAATTGGCCTGTGCGCTTCTCAGTGGTCGCAGACTTTTCGTGGGTCCGGTGCGCGCGGGATGCGCGGGGCACTGCGGTGCCGCTTGCCGTTTTGGGTCATGTTGCGTGCTGTCAACAGCTCGAGCTACATGGTCCATGGTGTAGATTATGTGGAAGGGATGTGTGAAGCTGCTCGTTTGTAGATGGTTCACTTGTTTCTGACCGTTTCCTCCCCCACACATGATGATGATGATGTTTTAGATGCGTCTGCCCTTGTGGTCGCAGGCCAGGGCTGGTCGTGCAATGGTGGGCCTCCGTGGGCCGGCATGTAATCTGCTGGCTCCACAACTTCACCGGCGTGCTGCTGGTGTTGCCACCGGAGCACGCCCAAGCTTGACTGAGCAGGGACAGAAGTACTTCACAAAAACTCACGAGTGGTTCCAGGTAGAGGAGGAAGGTGTGGGAACCGTTGGCATTACACAGGTGGCGCAACGAGCACTGGGCGAAGTCCTATACTGCAGGCTTCCCAAGGAGGGTGCCAGGTTCAAGGTCATGGAAACGCTTGCAACTTTAGAGGCCCTGAAGTCTGTTGGCGAGGTCCACAGCCCCATCCGGGGGGAAGTCATTGAGGTAAATTCGCGCCTGGAGCGCGAGCCTGCTCTGGTCACCTATGCTCCTCTGACGGATGGATGGCTCGTTCGCATGGCTTTTGATGGCCAAATTCCAAGATACCTCAGAAGAAGCAGTGCCATCCCACGCTCACAGGTAGAGCCCCTGCTTGCTGACATTCCAGGTCTCGTGCGCTATCTTGAAGAGCGGCTACTCAGCAGTCCAGGAGACAGTGACGCGCTGCAGGAGCTTACGTTTGATGGACTGCGTACCATGGAGCGCTGGTATATTCACAAAGCTGCCAACGAGTTAAACCTGTTCACACAATCGCACGGCACGGGTGCCGGAAGGCAGCTTGTGGTGCGCAGAGTGCCCCACACACAGAACCAACCAGGGCCGGATGCTGATGAGGATTCAGATGACGAGGAAGAGGACGAGGAAGAGGAGGTGGTTCCTCAGCGAGAACGACCACGCCTGGAAAGGCGAAGGAAGAGAGCACCCGTACGTGTGCTCTACAAGTGAGTGCTCTGCTTGCGAAAACGGGTGCATGATGGGTATGTGCCCGTGGGTAGATTCCTTCCTACAGAGAGTTTGTCTCCTGCTCCGACTGTGCTCTCTGGAGGCCGGGGCATCATCTGATGCTTCCATTCAGAAGGTGGCCAGTGCGAAGCCTGAGATGTGCTCGTATGATTCTGCACACACAGGCTCGATGAAGTCTGTCGAATGTATCCGCTGTGTTTTGTCAGGATCAAGATGCCTCTTTTGGGTGTTGGATCTGGAAGACATTTAGAAAGTCATAGTATGACTACCATCATGTTGGAGCACCTGATTGGTCTAAGCTGTTTTGGTTCAGGGCTTGCAATCTCCGCCTCGGAGCTATGTAGTGCATGGAGAGCTTTGACACTCCGATTGTCGAGACCACCTTCACTTCTGCAGAGAAGGACAAGCGTGCTGATGGCACGAAGACCATCCATGGTCCCTCGTTGGAGATAGCAAGAGACTGAACACGAGGGGTTCCACATCCGTGCCTTACTTTTCGAAGAACTTGCAGAACTTGCATGTATCTTTTTGCCACTCAAACCACGAGCACGTCCGCCACTCGATGTGTAGAGCCTGGACCGCATGCCTTGCCTTGAGGCTTCTTCATAACGACGACGGTCCTTGGCCAGGGGTCCTTTGCGAAAGTGAAGCTGTGCATGGAGCAGCTGACCGGCACGGAGTTTGCCATCAAGGCCGGTTGCAAGATTTTCCAAGATCTTGCAAGGCTCCCAAAGTTCATGTGCGGGCGGCTCTGGCACAGGTTTTTCGGAAACTGCCTCTGCGCCGAAAGCGAGAATTTACTCGCTCCGATGATGGTGAAGGCATGAAAGTCCGCACCGTGCTGGACAAGGTTTACGATGAGATTGCCTTGCGGCTTGTCCGACTGGTCCAGACAAGCTGATACTGTATCTGCCATTCTTGCTTATGCTTCGTGCCGGTTTCTAGGTGAAGTCCGAAGCGACGTGAATTTATCTGAATGGTGTGTCAGGGGTCTGTAAAGGTCTCTCTTTCTTTCTTTCTTTCTCTGCCTCACTCGCTCTCGATCCCTCGATTCTCTGACGGTGATGCTGCAAGGATGAAAACAGTCTCACATCCCAGATGTGTTCAGCTGCATGCAATTCTCGACGAATCGGCCTCGAATGGCAAGCTGTACGTGGTGCTGGAGTACATGCGCGGTGGTCCATCTATGGAGTGGGATGAGTCGGAATGCTGCTTCCAGGCGCGGGCCGGCCAGATCACCGAGCAGGTGGCGCAAAGATTCATGCGCAATACCCTGTCGCCGGCCTGAAGTTCGCACTTTAGAGTGCTTTGCTTGTGCTTTTGCTTGCTTTCTTCAAGAAGTCTCAAGTAGTCGCTCTCGAGTCGAGGGAAGCCTTGGACTACTTGCACCAACAGTTGATCGCTCACCGGGACGTGAAGCCGCAGAACCTCCTGCTCGATGGGCTCGGTGGCTTGAAGCTGGGAGACTTCGGGGTCGCGACTCGGAGACTTGGCGCAAAAAAGCACCAGCCGAAACTGAAAGAGCTCATGGCTGTGATGTGTTCTACATGTGGAAATTAGAACCGGCCAGTGCGCAGTGACCGCAGCTTAGTGAGCGTTTGTGCACTGAGGATGCCGGATGACTACGTGGTCCAGGGTACTGAAGGCACTTATCATTTCTTCTCGCCCGAGATGTGTGCCAGTGGCTACAAGGGTCACGATGGGCGCTGCGCCGACATTTGGGCAACCGGCATCTCTCTGTGGGGATTTCTGTTTCAGTCTCTGCCCTTTCTGCACAAGGCCTGTGGGACTTGGTGGTCTGGGGGGAATTTGCATGCTCTTGCTCTTGCTGGCAAAAGCGGCAGGATCTGCCCGCTTTGCTTGACACGATCGCGATGGGCACCTACGAGCTTCCCCCATGTGACTAGCCTGTTAAGAGGGCGTTGACGTGTCCTGACCGTGAGATCAAGTTTGCAGCTTTGCGCCCGTCGTGTATCATCGAGCCCAGTCCCTCGTTGAATCAGAGCATGGCTAGCCATGTTGCCATGACCGACCCCTGCCTTCAGAGTTGGGGCACAACATCATTGCCGCATGCTCTTGAGCACGAACTTTGCTTGTAGCTTAGCGGGGCATAGTACTGGACAGCAAATCCGGCAAAGCAGCACAGATCCAGATCAAAAACAAAGCATGTCGCAGCCGTGGGGGTGGCTGTGGCCATGAAGGATGCGGTGCTGGAAGCAGCCCTTCGCGAAGCTCTCTCCGCCGAGAGTCTCCACGGGGCCTTACGCAGTGCAGCGGTTGAAAAAAGCCCGGGGGGCCCCTTTTTGGGAAAAGACACAAAAGGCGATGCCCTGGAAAGCGCCGTCGCAGAGCTCCACGGCCGAGTGCTCTCTGCTTATCAACGTTCCGCGGCGAAGTCTCGTGAGTCTAAAGAGGCCCCGCGGGCCCCGGCAGAGTCTCCTCCTGAGCATCAAGAGGCCTCCTACAATGTTCGAGTGAGCTTTACAGACCAGGACCCGAAGCCTCTCCCAACAAGGACGTCGGAGCTTGTCGTGGATCAGAAGGCGACTGCGAGGCTGACGTGCACGCACTGCCGAAGGCCGCTAAAGATGGACCTGATGCTTTCGGAACAGGAATCTTCGGTGGACCTTGAAACGCCGCGGTGTGCGTACGTGGCAGTCCTGGCCGACGGCAAGACCACCAGCTTTCTGCAGGCATGGATGCTTGGCATGAGTCTCGCAAAGCATAGCCAAAGCCAAGGCCCGGCTCGGCCAGAGAGAATGCTGCTACACAGTCCATCAGTACCAAGACCGTTTCTTGAGGTCTTGCGGCAGGTGTGGCAACTGACAGCTGGATCCCTTGGCTCATGGCCCGCCATTCTGAGCCATCCCGTTCTGCTGAAACCCTCCTCCGACAGACTTCTTCGATTGCGCGCCCTGGGCCTGAAGTTTGACAAGGTGCTGGTGCTTGCGCTCGGGATAGTTGCCACAGCTGACCTCGACGACGTCTTTGACGCAAGCTGCCCGGCTTTCGTTGCGGAGAAGTCCAGCGCTTTTCCTCAGCAGGCAGGTTTGCCAGTGATGCTGCTCCCTTGCAGCCACCAGGCCGCGCGCAAAGTTGCGTTTGACACAGGACACAGATCCCAAAATGCAGCCTACCCTCCCCGGACTATAGCCGGACAGAAGCAGGTGGAAGGAGACGAAGTGCTGGTCTACTTGAAAAGCTTCTATCGCACCTTCTTCGAACGTGACATGTTGGAGCTGCCTTCAGAGTTGTGCTCGAGATTGCAGTACGTGACCGTGAAGGTCTGGAGAGACTTCGAACAGCTTCTGCGAAATGCTTCTTCGTGCGCCTCTGGAGAGACAGAGCGGTTGTTCGAGCTCTTGGGCACGAAGGACTGCTCGGAAGTTTCGAGTACGCTGGCTTCTGTCGACACGAAGCGCTGTGAGAGCTGCAAGGCTTATGACTTCAAGGGCACTTTGGATCCATTGGACGGTCGGTGGCGTTGCAGATTTTGCTGGGAGCATATGCTGTTAGACTCTGCTTTGCAGGATCCTGGCTGCATACCTCTGCCACTCCATGAGGTTGAGACTCTGCAGAAAGAGCTTGAGGAATGTTTCGTGCCCGGTGAGAGGCAGCGATGGCGATGGAAGGAGTGGGACCGAGACAGAAGATGGATCGAGTTTCGGCCCAAGGGGGTGCTCTGGCACAGCAGCAACCAAGTCGGGGCTTGGGAGATGTGGGTGGATCGGGGCAAGCGGCAGCTGGCCATGAATTTTGTAAATTTCGACAAGGATGGGAGGGCAAGGCCCGAAACCAGACACTTGCTGGAATTGAAAGACGCTGATGCCTCGGCACGCTTCGAGGAGTACCAGCGCGAGCAGTTCCACCCCCTGGGTTTCGCGTCACAAGGTCGCAGCTACAAAGACCAGTCGAAGATAACACTTCATCCGCCCCAAGGCTTTCAGCCACGGCGAAGACCTCAAGAGCAAACATTGAGAAATGGGGTCTCCAGTGAGAAGAAGCTCGAGCCAGAGCTACGCAAGACTGTGGACCAAGCTTCCCCTGTTGACAAGAAGGTGATTTCCACTGCCATTCGCGCGACCGAGCAGACTCCTGCTGCGGAGATGGGTCCAACGCCGACAACCGCACGGGGAAAACTTGCATACATCCTCGGCAAGGCATAAACAGGTCGGTTCTCGTCAGCTGACTCGGAAGGTTGTACTTCGAGACGTCCCAGATGTCGGCAGCTGTAGGTACGGGTAATTCGTCCACCATTCAGGTCGCGACCGTGACCTTCTCTGACGGGTCGAGAAGCGATAGTTACAAAGCCATTCCCATTTCACTTCCTTGATTTATTCAATTGGAGAAGGTTTCGGCGCCCAAGATCTACACCTAGCTATGACAGCCGCAGCCGGAACCTCCGCGCCTCAAAGCGCATGCCTGCATCAGAGCGGTCGAGAACAAAGTGCAGGCTCCTGGAGCCACGTGTTGAAACTCGTGGCTCTTGAAGGCATGATTATCCTGCTACCTTGCCCTCTCGTTGGAGGTTTCCATTAAACCCCATCCTGAAGCAAACGCTAGTGTGGCACGCGAGAAGCTACCGTTCAGAGGCTGGTCTTTCGTGAGGCGAAGCTTTATCGACCAGCTGCTGCGCATTCCTGACCTGCGCCCTCGCGAAGGACGCAGCCGAGCTGCGAGAGAACCACTGAAAGAGCGGCGTTACGTAATTCTTGACATGCCGGCAGCCTGTGTGATTTACTTTGGCAGGATCCTGTTCAGCGACCCTTGGCGGCTGAATTGCTGCAAGATCCATGGCTCAGACGAGAAGGCCATCGTCGGGACCCACGGGATAATCTTCTCTGCTTCTTGGCCCATGTGCCACACCCACTTGAATTTTACAGCAATGATGTGAAACGAGAGCATGCAGTGCAATTTATGGCAGGTCCCGATGAGGTCCAGGATTGCACTCGCGGAAGTGAAAAATAATTTGCGAGCCTCACGAGTGGACAAGAATATGATGTGTGTCGCATGTTGTTTCGGATGTGGATTCCGGCTCTTAGGTCATGTGCCAATTGCAGCAGCCTCAAAACAGTTTCAAAAACTCCCCACAGCCTGTAGCATACGGCGTTGTGGCCCCAGGAACAACTCTTGCAACAGAAGGACTCCGATCAGAGGCCGGCGAGCTCAGAAAAAAGGTTGCAGTGTTTAAGCTTTAAAGCTTTAAAGCCCCTATATACTCTTACTTCCCTAAGCAGCCGAGGCTCGGAGCTCTGGTGCGTGAGATGTGCCAGCTCCAGCCGGACAGGCGGTGCAGCGCCAAGAGCGCCAGGTCCTCGGCTCTCTTGGTCAAATCTGCGGAGCCTGCCGCTGGTTGGTTGTTTGACTTTTGTGCGCTTGGGGCAAAGTCTTACACAAGATGGCGAGTCGGGAGGGATGCGCAAAGTGTGACAGCAGACGGTGAGAAAGCAACAACGAGAGATGCTCTCAGAAGGTCTGGCCATGCATTGCACACGCCAGGACTGTCATCTCCTGTCATTTCCAAGGACGACAAAGCCTGCACGTACCGATCTGGAAACCAAAACGGAAGGGTTGGGGGCGTGGGATGCGCCATGCCATGCGTTCCCGACACCGGCGAGCTGTGCTGATTGCAGCTGCGCTGATAGTAGCTGTGTCGCTCTGCTCTCCAACCAGGCCCAGTTGAGACTCCTTTAACATCATCTGAGGTGCGACGGTTGCTGTCATAATTTAGTCGCCAGTGTACGTGCTGCACAGATCCTGTGCATTTGCATCGGGGCTGCTGGACCGTGAAGCTGCAGGCAGGAGGGGGAGGGGCGTCGTGTCACGACTTTGCATCCAGAACAGACAGGGCTAGGGCGGCTTGGGAGACCGAGGAAGCAAGCTTCGGCGCCCTGCAGTGCCACAGTACTCAAAGGACAACTATGAGCTCGATGAAGATGGGGCCAAGGCAGCCCCGGGCTCTCAAAGAAGCCAAGACTGGAATGCGAAAGCCTTCGGAGCTTCCGGGCTGGATGATGCGGCTTTCGACCAGGAAAGGCTCTTGGAATATGTGTGGGCACGACCCTGGGAGATCTTGCAGCGCTTGGCCTCCACTCTGTCCATTGCGTTTGGGATATGGTGGGCATGGAGGGATCGCAAGAGTGAAGCGACCAGCGAGACTCTGCTCACGACGTCCCTCTCCCGCAAGGGTCCGAAGACAGAGAGTGGCGAGGCCCTGCGCCAGGGCCTGCAGCGCATGGGCGTCTTCTTCGTGAAGATAGGCCAGGAAGGACAACTTCAGTCCGCCGTCGGGCTCGACAGTTGTAGCGAAATATCGAAAGAACACATGGTAAGCCCTAAGCCTTTAAGCCCTCTCCTTTTCGTTTTCGGTGCTTTTTGTCGTTGCTTCGACCTCGGAGGCCAGACGGCAGCGCAGCGACCTGATATTGTTGGGGACGAAGTGGCCGAGGAGTTGAAAGGGCTCCAAGAGCAAAGCACGCCCTTCAGCGATGACTTGGCACTCACAATCTTGGCCGAAGATTTGCAGCAGAAGGGCCCCTTAGCTCCGGGGGTCTGTGCCAAAAATTGCACCGACTCCGATGGGGAACCACTTCTCATGGAGCTGAACCCGAAGTACGTTGCTTCTGCATCCCTGGGGCAAGTCTATCGAGGCAGGATGCATGACGGGCGTGAGGTGGCGCTGAAGATCCAGAGGCCCGGGGTGCGCGAAGTCCTGGGACTCGACTGGGCGGTTGCGACACTGGTGAGTCGAGCGTATCAAAAACTGGTTTCTTCACCGAACGACTATGGCGCTGTTGTGGATACAGTGGCACGTGGAGTTCGAATGGAGCTGGATTACTACAACGAGGCGGCAAATGCCGAAGAGTTTGCCCAGCGACACGCATTTCTCCCGTTTGTGACTTCACCCGGATGCATACCGCAGCTCATGGGCCCTCGCGAAAGCTCACGCGTGCTTGCTTTAAACTGGTACCCTAGCCGCTCGCCAAAGGAGCTGCCCTTGCAAGAGCGGAGACTGTTGGTGGAAATGGCCGTCGAGGCTTGTGTTGTACAGCTGCTAGTAACTGGCTTCGTTCATGCAGATCCGCACGAGGGCAATCTCAGGATGGGCGATGATGGTCGTGTGGTCTTTCTGGATTTTGGTCTCATGGACCGTGTGGACTTCGGAATCATGGAGAGCTGCGCCGCCGGAGTTCGTCAGGTTCTGGACAAAAACTGGCTAGACCTGACAACGACGTTTCAGGATGTTCGCTTCACTCCAAAGCCGCTCATGAAGAACATGGCCTATGGAAAGTCAAAAACTCCGCAATACGAGCCTTGCGGTAACGAAGAGTTTGCTGTGGCCGTCGGGGAGCAGATCGAGAAGGAGGCAGGCGGTCAGTCTCGCTTTGGAGCCATGGCAGTGGCCTTGAAGAAGCTATCGGATCGTTATCTGATGTTAACTCCACCGTTTATCGCCCTTCTATGCCGGACGTTTATCACGTTGGAGGGCCTTCTGGGAGATGATCCTGCCCTGGTGGAGTCTTACAACGTGTACCAGAAATCGCTGCCATTTGCCATCAGTCGCCTTCTGTCGCCTCGCACCAGGAAGGGTTGCAGGGCTTTGCGCAGCACTCTGCTGGACAGCCGGGAAGATCAAGAAGCGAGTGGATCCAGCCAGGCCTCACAGGGAGGCTCCATTATCCCGAACTGGTCAAGTTTGAGTACTCTTCTTACTGCAGGGTCCCAGACGGAAGCTGATGCCGGAGACGAGCCTCGCCACAGTCTTTGGCCGTCGAAGGGTCATGCTTTTGGTTTTGTCACCCAAGTCGGGGCTTGACTAAACCTCGCATAAGCCTTGTACAACCAGGGGTTAGGGTGCTGCAGGAAGCCGAAACACCATACTCGCCAGTTCATGACCTTGGACTTTTTGGGTCTGCAAGGTTAGGAGGCACAAGGTCGCTAGAGCTTTTGTATGGCTTGAGAATGCTTGCGAAAGCAGAAATCAAATGCAATGCCGGCAGCTTACAAGCACATACCAGCGCAAGCACACCAAGAGTTGTAAGGCCTGCTGACAAACGGCTTGACCGTCTTGAACGGATTAGGGAGCCTCGTGCGGGTACCCGTGGGCACAGGCATCCCGACACCAAAGGTTTGGGACTTGCGGCTTGTATGAGCCTGGTAGTTCTCTACGATTCAGCGGGGTGGGGGCCCGCGATTCAGGGCATGGACACGGGCCGACTCGGTGTGCCACTTCCAAGCTTTCAATTCTTCGGCCGTTGAGGCAAATTTCTCCGCCAGGCTCAATTCCTGTCTCGGCCTGCGACTCCAGCTTCAGTCCGGGCTTGAGGGCCATCAAGTTTGCAGGGTTATGCAGGGCTTAAGCCTAAGCTCTTCTCAAAGTTCCTCCAGGGAAGCCCTCCACCAGTTTTCAGCTTCGGGTCGAGTAAGAGAAACCTTGGCCCTAGCCCGAATCATCTCGCTTGTGGCGGTTCCAGTGGAGCGAAGCCTGCGGCATTTTACATATTATCCTACAGTACCTTACATGACCTCTTATCTTCTTGTATTGTACTATACATTGTGATTTATTGTGCTATAATTATTCTATATGGTTATCATTTTGTGTTGCATTGCTCTTATATGATACTATGAATATGACATCATGTTAGATTTTGTATCCCAGGGCTTGCTCGACTTCGCGGACTTGGGGGCGGAAGCGGCAGTGCAGCGCAGACTTCTCCGAACGGCCGGGGCACTCAGCACGTCCAAAAGTAAAAGCAATCATCGTAAGCGTGCCATTAAGGGCAATTAGTCGCAATGCCGATAGTCATCTTGTTTTTGTAATTTGCGATGACTTGGTGTAGGCATGTATACTAGTTCAACGCAACAGCCCAAAGCTGCAGCCTGCTTCAAGCAAGGCGGAAGGCGCGGCTTTGCGCCGTGTCCTGTTTGACATCGATGTCTTTGAGGCGCCAGAGTTCCAACTGGTTCACGACGGTGCAGTGAGACCGCCGACTTGAACAGGCATGTCGCAGCTTCCTAACTTCCCCAGATGCTGCCCCCTTGCGTGATGCTGCTATTGGTCGCTCCGACTTGAATGTTACAGTAGTCTCGAAGTCTTAGAGTGGAGGGCAATGTAGTTTGAGCTGCCAGGGTCGCTGGCTGGTCGATGGTCTGGCAAGCGAAAGCGTCAAGGCACAGACTAGACTGTGATGCTCGTCCGCGCAGTTGGTGCTTTTGCGAAGCCCCAAACGGAGGCAAGAAAAAGCGACGCGGACCTCGCAGCACGGCGGCTGCCAGGTGCGTGAAGCTGTGCGCTGTAATACTTGAGATAACTGCTCTCTTCCGGGAGTTTCTGAAGTTTTCTTGCATTCCTCGCATCCCTGCAGGGGCTGGGGCGACTGGTCTGAGGACGACCCCTTTCGCCTGTCAAAGACCACGCTCGCTCACTCCCGTCGTGCTTGGCGGATCATCCTGAGGCCAGATGCCGGGTCGAGCTGGTGTGCTTGCGCTGTCTATGTGCAATGTACCTGCATCAGCCTGCATCCCACGTTCACATCTGCCAGGCGGCAGTTGAGAAAGTCGTGCTTGCCTCCCTGGCGGCTTTGCTGGCGAATTCTTCTGCTTTGTGTGCAGGACCGCACAGGGCCCAAGACGGAAGACATCTGTAGGAACGACTTTGCGATGCCCCCCCACGACCAAACCCACCTGGCCCGTGTACACAGTAGTTGTGATGCTGATTGGGGCCAGAAATCTGGGTTTATGCATGTAAGTGGTTTAAGATGGGTTGTGTAGATTGCTTTCGATTGCGATCTTGTCTTGTCGTGGATCATGTGGAGCTTTGCCTGCCCTGAGCAAGTGTGAGCATCGAAACCCACCTGGCATGCCCGAGTTGCGAGAGTGCAGTGTAAACCTGACACTGAGCCAATTGGAAAGACTAAGTTCGAAACCCTAAACTGAACCATACTACTTCACCACCAGCCCTAGACGGCCCTCGACCTTAAGCCTTGAGAGCTGTCCGGCCGGAGGTGTTGCCTGCCAGCTCCGCCCTTCTGGTGCGAGCCGCCTTGCAGTCGCGTTCGAGGCGCTGAAAAAAGATGGGTCCTGATAATAAGGGTCCTACTATTTCGGGTACCATATTCGGGTCCCCTAGTTTCGGAAAACCCCCATATGGCTCTTCATTGTAAACTCAACTCCGATTCTATCACCGGTCTCCACACCCGGCGAAAAAAAAACTCCAGCTGCGGAGCAGCCAGGGCAGCTTCCGAGCCCGCGGAAGCTGTCAGGCGGTATTGGATATTTCTGTTTTTAATCGTTGTTCCACGTCAGACTGTACAGCCTTTGCAGGAAGCTGGTGTGCCAGTCCATGCGACAGATACAGGAGCCCAACTCTAGAAAGTAGGTGACACTGCTCTGGACAACATGGGCTGGCCGAAATATGCTTCGGGAGGAGCCAGACTCCAACAAGCATCCCCGGCAAAGCGTTGAGGTGCTGGTGACATCGGTCGTTTCTCAAGAAAAGCTCGCGCAACAGTAAGAGTGCCCAAAGCCCTGAACCCTTGTCCGAGTCTGAGCCCGAAATCCAGAAATGACGCCGTGAAGCCATGCCCCTCCCTTGTGCGAGAGCGTGTGGCGGAAATCCAAAAATCGACTTTCCTGCTTGTCAGACCGAGGCCATGCATCACGAGTTCTTCGACTTCTGGTATGACGAGTGAAGCAAGGAACCCCTTCTTCGATTGAAATTGGGACCTCCCGACCTGGAGGTCCCCTTGAGCCATCTCTGGCTTTACTGTTTAGAAGTTTAGCATTTCCAAACGGAAGACATTCTTTAGATGCCCCTACAACTGAGCCCCCAGTCCAATCTTGCTTCGTGCATGGTACAAACTTTCAAGCAAACTTAAGTCGCGAAAAGTAACGCTACTTATTTCTATGTATAGTCCCGCCCCCACGCAAAAGTCAACATAAGTCTGAATAAATTATATGAACTTCTTTTTCGACCGGGGGCACACTTTCGGGGGCGCGTCAGTGCGACATTGACAGGAATTCTGTACAGCCTCAGCCTCCTCGAGTTGAACACTCCGTGCGTGTCCATTTGCCTCGGCTTGGCGTCAAAAAGGCCCGGGTGCTCGTGATCCGGTGCAGTCGGTGAAGCGGCCATCTGGCACATCAGCAGATCCAGCTGAAATCCGGTTAATTCTTAGCCTCAATGCACGGTCAAAGTAAACCGGGCACTTGGAGAATGCGATGGGTGCAAGTGGCGATTGCTACTCTGCTCTTCACATCGCTGCAGACAGGACTTTTCGTAAGGCGCATCAGAACGTCAGGGCAGGTGTGGGTATGTGCAGAAATGCAGAAGCAATGGTTTGCAGGCCAGATGTTGGGCACCGGCGACCGCGCACACCGTGCCGTGCCGGTGACACACTCTTGAGCTGGATCCAGCAAGGCGGTGGCGAGGGGACGGTGAAACGCAGTTCCGGCCTGGTTGTGTGCTCCGTGCCTCCGTGCGCTGCGATTCGCTTGGCGGCTGCTCGGAGCCAGGCGATGTAGATTCTCGGGGCTTGCGTGGCCTCGTGGTGACGAAGCCAGCCCGGGCAGGGGACACTCTTCTCGAGGCCAGCCGAGGCCGTTGCTACAAAGCTTCTCTGTGGGTCCTGAAAAGGTGCCTCTCGGGCTGACGTTGGCCGACGGTTGCGAAGGCCAAATCAATTGCAGCTGCCAGCGAACTCACCCTAACAGCTTCCAGGCCCTTCAGAAGGTGCTGTGGCTGCAGGGCCGCCGTGGAGCAAGCAGTTGCTGCAGCCTCAGTTCACGCCGTTTTTCAGACGTCACCGGCTGGGCGCAAGATGCGAGGCCCTGGAACGTGCAGCTGGCTCTCGGCGTGCTCGCTAGGCAGAACTCAATGGCTTTCTTGCTTGACGCTTCTGCTTCCGAAGTCTACAGGAGGCAAGAACCGGACTGGTCCTTGTTTCTCGGCCTGCACCCAAGACCCCCAGAGTGGAGCACTGAAGAGGTTATCCGGGTCGCATGGGTGCGTCTTAACCCACAAGGGGTGAAGATTGACAGTTCTTGACGCCCAACCATGCCCAGACAGCTGGCCTCCTGCACCAATCCTTCCCAAAGACATGGAGGACGAGGACTTCGCTACCTGTCTCCAGCCATCAGGTGTCACTAAGTCGGAAAGTAAACGGGTGGTGCCGCTGTCGCTTGCTTTGGGAATGCTGCGAAGTGATTTTGTTGGTTACAGGCTACCGCCACTTGCTGCGGAGTTTCGCCGACGCGTGCTGAGTTGTTCTTAGAGTCATGGGGTTTGTGCGGCGCAGGATCTGGAAGAAGCCCAGGACAACTTTTAGGTGCTTGTTGCCCCAGTCCAGTATGTGAGGTGCCTGTTTTCGGCAGCTTCTGTGCCGCAGGACGAGGACTTCGAAGTCAAGGCGAGCATGGCTTCCGTCTTTTCCCTTTGCAGACGCTGGGTGTGATCAGGCTGGCGGCACCCTCTTCTGGTTGGAGGAGCGCTACGAGGAGCGGTGCCGAAGGTGGCGAACTGCATATTCTGCTACATAATCGACCATAATGTACCATGAGGTGCTGTAACATACTATAACATAACATGCTGTATGGGCACCCCACCGCCGGCGTGACATCGGCCGCTTCCCTCCCGGAGTGTGCTCTCGAAAGGATGCCTTGGCAGCCTGGGAGCAGGCCGAAGCAGAAGATCCCAAGATCTTCTGGAGCGAGGAGGACGGCACAGAGTCCAGTCCGGCAGTCGCACTAGCAGTCACTGGTACTGCACTTCGCGGGAGGAGTTCCGGTGGGCAATGGCACACGTGTGGAGCCGATGCTGCCGCTTGGACTTGGAAGAACTCGGAGGCTCGCAGCGATTCGGTGCCTTTGTCACACTCCTCACTCATCGGAGAGGCACCCGGCGCCTTCTCATCCCACTCCTAGGCCTTCCAGTCACGGAGTCCAGAGCTTGTGTATCGAGGGCCTGTCGTGCCAGACATGGGAAACCATGACTCCGAGCCAAGCGCCGTCTTCGACCTGGGCCGCAACGGCCGGGCGGTGTTTTCTGGCGGCACTTAGAGGATCTCTCAGCCCTGCAACTGCCAGCCTCGCGGCTGGAGGTGTCTCTCTGCCACGCGAGACTTGCAGGAAGGGGACCCGGTCACCTACTCATACGGTGAGCCGAGTGCTCGGGATTCCGACATTCTCCTGGTAGAGTCATGGACCGCCCCGCAATTTCGTGTTTGCAGGCATCCGAATGAGCACTTTGCCCTGTACTACGGCCATGGTCTTGGAACGGCAAGATCGGCTCCAGATTCCATAGGACCATAGGATTTCGGGGGGATGCGTTTCTTCTTGTTACTCAGACTCTACCTCCAACAGCAACGTTCAAAAAGGCCCACTGTTATCAGCCTTTAGTGAGTTGATCAGAAGGGCTCGGCCAAACACCGACGAGAGACAAAGAGCAAGCTTCGTTGAGGTTTCGTCCCTGAGTCGAACCCGTATGACCACTTCAAAGTGTCGTTGACAAAGGCAGGTGGCTTTGCTGCATGCCGCGGGCAGCAACGTAGGACCTTCGCTCCCCAGGTGCTTCAGTGTCTGACGCTGGCGGGCTTTCCCGGTGCCGGAGACTGGCAGGCCGGGCGAAACCTGAGCCAAGATGAGTCTGTACCCCCTCGCAACAAGTGTGCCTACACAGCCCCGCGTTTGCGACTTATATACATCTAGAATCAAGGGCTCACAGCTTTCAGGTCAACTTGCACAATTCTAAGGAATACTGCGTGCTTCTCATCGTCTCGACCCACTGCACCTGTCCCGTCACGATATACACGCGCACCTTCTTTATAGGGTTTAGGCTGGCATCGGGCTTGGAGGGTTTCGTTCCTTATGCCCTCTGTTTTCGTTCTCCGCCCTGGCCCTCCCCTGCCATGCCGGGTCTCCTGGACAGCCCATCCTTCCATTCAGAACACTGGCCATTTCACTGCATCCGAGGCTTTGGAGCCCCCAACATCGTTTCCTGTCTTGCCTCTCAACTCCATTCGCGGCAGTGGATTTTCCTTGGCTGCGACCAGCTCGCGCGTCCAATGAGGGGGGAGCCAGAAGCGTTCCTCCCTAAGTACGAGGATATTAATCAAAAGTAGAAGCGTGACGATCAAAACAATGCACGGATAGGTCTTGAAATGCAAATAGAAGAAGTAGAGCCAACTAAGTTTATGCAAGCAGTTCACGACTACAAACAGCCACAAATATCAGCCGACGTGTAGACACGCAGTCAACCACGCGATGCACATCATTGGAACGATAGGGATAAGTATGGATAAATTGTAATGGTTTCCAGATCCCAGCATAGCTGGACTCTTTAGGTCATCGAGTTTACCCTCGTTGAGGTTGAAGCGTCCAGGTTTGTACACGTCGTGAAATACAGCTATGCAATGTGGCCCCATCCGGCCTAGCGGTATCAAGCTGCGCAAAAATGCAGGGCCGCTCACTGAAAGCTTTCCTCCAACTCCACCCGGTCCACCCACCATGCACTGTCCATCCACCAACTCCTTGACGAGTTAAGGTCTGCTTGTTTAGGGCGACCTATGACGACATGGGCCGGGGGGGGTGCTGTGAGGGCCTTAGGACTACGGTGGCTTCTCCCGCAAAAGGCCACGGAGGTATTCTGCAAGTTTCGTTTAACGCTTGCCGGTTAATCTGAAATAAACCAAATGGTCCCAAAATTCCAGCTTTCAAAGTCGTCACGGCATTTGTGGGTGGCGGTTTCCGCTCGAGGCCGCCAGGATGGAGGAGGTGGTGCTCAGCGGCGTTGCCGCCAATAGCCTGCCGCTCCGAGCCCGATCGCCTCCACTGGGGCTTTTGCAGGCAGCGACAGGCATCAGAAGCACATGTGCCTGTGCGGGTATCAGCTTGCAGGCTCTCTTTGCGCTGCTTCCTGAAGCCTCTGAGGCACGGAGTTGGGAGTGTCTTTCAATGCCCTCCTTCTGCTTATTGCTTTTGGCTGCTTTTCCTTTCGCTTCCGTATCGTGCTTCCTCTCTTTTCGCTTTATGCTTCCTGCTTCTTCCCCTTGCCACTTTGCTCTTCCGCTTT